ACTTGTTTAATTATTTTCATTTCTAAGGCTTCTAGTTTTCGAGATAAATTAGTCATTTTAGCTCTTAAGTTATCATCTTCTATTAATATATATTTTCCTCTTTTAGATGTAGATTGCTTAGTTTCCACTACATTTAAAGAAGTTGAGTCCCACATCTGGGAACTCTCAAAAATAATACCAAAAAATTGGAATGCTTCTTCAGGATTTTTACTCATAAATTTGTCTGCATCATCATTTCAACAAATTGTTGCATTGTAGGTGGAAGAACATCATAAAAAAAACCAACTAAGGTTCTGTTTTCAAATGCATGATGTGGACAAGCTTGAAGAAAATCTTTAAATTTTTCCCAACATTGATAAAAAGTTTTACATTCTTTTACAGAAAAATTCATTATTTGACGTCTTAATGTATTTGTACGATGGACAAGAATTTTTTTTTTAAAAAAACTCAGTTTGTAAAGCTTGCCAATTTATTATAGAATTTGCTCTTAAAGAGTTAAGCCACTGTTTTCGCTTTATCCTTTAAGGAAAGAGGAAAAAGTTTTAATTTGATCATTTCAGAATTATCTTGCAAAGTTCCACAGACTTCTTCAAATTCTTTCATATGCACATAAGGATTTTCAGTTTTTAAACCATGAAATTGTGGTAATAACTGTATTGTTCCTGACTTAATATTAAGATTTGGAGCATCTGTTGGAAAATCAAAACATAATGGGACATTAGTTCGTGTATGATGTAAATATTCTCTTAATGGTTGAACATTTTGAACTACTTCTTGTTCTCTAGGTTGTTCTTCCTTAGGTACATTTCTAGCCATACCTAATTCAAATGATTCTTGTCTAGATGAAGATGATAAAGACGAAAGAGATGACTGATTTACAAAACCTATTGATGAATAAACATACATAAACTAAAAGAAAAAAAGAAAACAAATAATTTATAAACATATAATAAATGTAAACTACTCTATTTTATTTAATTTCAAACTACCATAACTCCCTGGCAACGGCACCCAAAACTTGATTCGAACTATTTTGTGATCGAATTTATACTATACATCCAAGTATAAGTGGCCAAATTATAGTTTTCTCAATTTAAGTCCAAGATTGATCCCACGAAGAGTTTTTAGTAATTTAGAATTTTAAATAAGAATAGTGAAGTTTTTGTTTAAATAGTGTAGCATGAGATAGCTTGTGATGTGAACTTAGATTGATAACTAGTCTAAGTAACTGAAATATGTATACATATTTCTAAAATATAATAATATGAAAAGTATTCTACAATAATTAACTTCCATGTCACTAAAAAGTCAACCGGTAGGTCTGATGTATATAACTCATATCATAACAACTTCTTAGGTTAGCTGGTGGTATACATGTCAACTGACTAATCTAAGTAACCCATAAGGTGAAGTCATTCATGAGGATTGCTTGAATTACTCAATCGACAATAGTATAGCAAATATATATACATTAAACTATAACACAACAACTTCTTAGGTTAGTTGATGGTATTATTTAACCATAACACAACAACTTCTTAGGTTAGCTGGTTATATGACAATTGACTAATCCAAATAAACTGGAAGGTTAAGCCATTCATGAGGATCATTTGAATTATTCAATTGGCTTTATTATATCTTGTATCAGTTAAACAACCCTAGTAATTTATAAGGACAAGTCATTCATGAGGATCACTTAGATTATTAATTTGACAATTATACCATGCAACAGTAGAACATCTTTAGTGCTTTTGGAGGACTAGTCATGCCGTTGGAACACCGTAGATATTTAACCGACAGGTTGATGATTCACTGATGACATAATTCTAAGCATAACACCCAATTATGTACATCACTGTATCATGCATGGAGCTTATATATATATATATATATATATATATATATATATATATATATATA